GTAGTAGAACACTAGTTGGCAAAAGCAAACCCAGAACATAAGCTTTGGTGGCAATGAACAAGGGGACCTTTCCCATGCTGCTGGCCAGCATGCAAAAACAGTACTATCCTATAGGCGGGTACTTGGAAGTTCTTTAAAAAGTTAGAGTCACCACATAACCCAGCAAATTCCATTCATTGTGTGTACTCAGAAAGCTGAAGGCAGACAGTCCAGGAGATAATTGTGTACCATGTTCACAGAAGCCTAATTCACAACAGTCAAAGAGTAGAATCAGCTGGCCTACTATGTGCTGATCAGTGAACAAATATGTGTGTGTTGTGAAATATTATTATTCCTTAAATAGGAAAGCAATCCTGAGACAAGTTACAATGTGAATAAAGATTAAAATGGTTATACTATGGAAACAACCCAGTTATAAAATGCAGCCTACCACAACACTCTACTTACACAAGTGTCTAGAGTTGCCCTTCATAGAGACTTAAAGTAGGATAGTGGTCACCAGGGACAGGCAATGGGAAGAGTGGGAAGTTAATGTTTAATGAGTAAGGAGTTTCTTTTGGGGGTAATAGGTTCAGACTAGAAAAGAATGGAAATGGTGGTTCGAAAACAATACAGTCAATGCAGATAGCACACTGAATTATACACTCAGTAGTTAAGACTGTAATTGATATGCGTGTGTGTGTGTGTGTGTGTGTGTGTGTGCGCGCGCGTGCATGTGTGTGTGTGTGTGTGTGTGTGCGTGTGGTGGGTTCATTAAAAATTTTGATGGAGTCCAGAAGATGTAAGGGAATTGAGAAAATGCCCTCAGAGTCAGAGTGCATTCCCACAATTCCAGGCTGATCCAGTTTCCTGCTCTCTCCACCACCTGCCAGGGGATCCTAGATTCAGAAGGCACAGGAGTAACTGATCAGAGGCCAGAAGTGCAGCTCCCATTCCTGAAAGGCTGCAAGTTCTTTGTAGAAAGATGAGCAAAGGTGGTCTCCTTCTACAAAAGTGGGAAGGGCACAAGAGGCAGAAGACGCGGAGCTTGAGAGGTTAGAGAAAACAACAAGTCTCAGTAGCCAGTCAGGACCAGATCAAAGAGAGGAGAGCAGCAGCAGTTAATGTGGGAAGGAGGGAGTTTCCTTATTACTGTATTTTACTATTCGAGGTGGGGGGACAGCCTGTAAATTAAAGGAACAAAATGAATGGATCAGGAAAGCCTCCACTTAAAGCTGTTATTAAGAGCTTCCTAGATGATTCTTTCTTGCAAAACTGTTTCAGAAGCAGGGAAAGAAAGATATAAGATACCACCCGAGCTCAGGGCAGGGGTAATGTCAGGACACCTTGGAACAAGGGAAGAGACACACAGTGGCACAATTCAAAGGCAGTGGCATTTCCTCTTACCCTGATAAATGCAATTGCTTTGGAGAAGAAAGGTTTGATGGCCTTGTGCCACAGGTAAATTTGTGCCTTTGGGCAGGAGTGGGTCTACGTGCAATGGAAAAGAGCTGTGGTGAGTTGTATAGTTGTTTTTAAATCTGTAATTAAAGGAAAACACATTTAATCCTTAAGCAGAGTGTGATTTGCTGTCTTATTCTACAGGAAGGTCCGGGATCACCATCATAGACTATTTAGTTGGTCTGTTAATAGTGGAACAATGGATGCAGAATTTAGGCTAAGATCATATAGACAGGGATAAGGATGACGTTTTGCTCTAGGGGTTTCAATCAATGACCTCCTTAAAGGTCCTTTGTTCCCCTTGAAAAACTACAGTGAAATAACTAGAAAGCTTCCCTACATCCTACTCTTCCCTGGTTGCTCTTTAGAGGCTTGAAATAAAGAACCCTAAGTTCTTGTGCTTTCTGGTAAAATAGGTAGGAGATAAATACCCCCAGCAGCCTGGCGGCAGACAACCTTTCAGAGTGAAAAGTCAAGTTGCTGGTTGGATCCTTCCCACTGTTGGTGAGAGGTGAGATGAAGCACTGCAAGCCAAGTGCATGTCCTTCCAGTAAGAAGGACATCCCCATCTCCTACTGAGAGTGTGACTCATACTTTGCCACTGATCCAACATCTTCTTTTGGGACATTTTCTCGTTGTGAAAGCACTTGGGGACAGAGGCACATATACCTTCCTAGATGTTGACATCAGGCATTCTCATTGCTGCCTGGGAGTGGAAGCTGACAGTTTCTGAAAGCGCACTATAAGACTTTCTCCAGGATCCCGCAACAGAACATGAACATCATTGAGTGTGTGCATTTAGTAAGGCTAGGAAAGTCAGGGACCAGATCAGGCGCATCAGTAATGTATGGTTGGAAGAGGTGCCAGACAGAGATACAAACATAGAAATAGCAGGTGGGAAGCATCACACCATTCCCAACAAAGGCAAGATTCCAGAGGTGATAAGCACTCTTTATGTACTATAAAGTGACTTTGAGAGAGACCAGGAGCACATGAACTAGAGTGTGCCAGCATGTGGAGTTAACAAGTTATCTCCAAACTAGAAATACAGCCTCATCATATGTCATCAAGGAGAGCTAACCAAGGGTCAAATCTTATCACTCCTGATCCTTGAAATGCCTAGACCATCACATGCAGACATGTAGGGAGGAAAAAGACTCATCAAAATGTGTTCCCTACTGACTGTCACTTTTTATTTGACAGTAAAACCAAGGGAGGATAACTTGTTGAGTATGAGACTATTAAAAGGATACCACTAACAGATGGAAACTAAACTAAAAGAATGTGGACTAGAGTCCTGAACATACTAATATTGCCTAACATATCACCATGGGTCTATATATTAGAAGCGATTTCTATTTTTAGTTTTATTTCCTCCCAACACAACTAAACTCCACTATGCTATCACTTCATCCATGATGCTGCAAGGTCTCATAATTTTCCCAGATCCAACTTTTCTCAGGTCTTAAAGGGAAAACCTGCCATCTCAGCTCTCCATTATCCAAGGAACAGGTCCATAATTTCCCTATTCATATTCTGCTCCCACAGAACTGAGGCTGAATACAGATGTATTTGCATGTTGATGATAATGTTTCAAGGGCCAGGCATTCTACAGTAACACTGACGTTTCCAAAATGGTCCAAGGTTCCGGATGGTGAAGTCCTTTTTTTCCTTGATGCTTCAGAATTTGAGGGAATTCTTACAGAGTGGCTTGCATGGGACTGAGTGGCACTTGCCATATGTTTAGAGCTATGGCTGCTTTCCCTAGTTCTACAATATGAAAACACAAGGGTTTCTATACTTTGGAGTATTATTTAGCAGTCTGAGGATAATGTATCATCCATCTGAATTGAGTAATTTAGGAGAAATGGGGTTATTTACTTCTCTCTAGTCACTCTGTTTTGTCATATGATAAGAAATACTATCATGGCATCATGGATACAAATTGAAACTATAATATTTGAACTTGAGAGTGCCTGTTTTGTTGGGGCATTATTTTCCCACCTGAAGTTTACTGATTGTACTTATCCAACTGATAGAAGCTGCCTCTGAAACTACAACTAGAGAAGCCCTCTATTTTTCTCTTTAATACTTCTCTTGGCTAAGGGTATGAAACATGGATGTCCTCACTACAAGTTCCAACAGAAATGCTGGAATGGTGGCTGAGAGGATATTAGTCAAGCATTGGGACAAAGGTAGCTTTTAGTCATAGACACAGACTGGTCTTATGACTGACTTCATTTCAAGCTAGGAACTTTGGCATGATTGCCATCTGGATTGATACCATTCTTTGTCTTGGAGGTCCATCTGGGTAGTCCAGCATATTTGGTAACAGTTGAGACAACTGCCTTTGAGATATCTATTGCTCTTACTTCTGGGACACAAGGAGCCTCGCCACATTTCCAGAGCATGGAAAGTTAGGGTTTGTTAAGGACCACACTCTTAAATCTTAACTTCCTCCATCTGTACAGCAATGCTAATGAGAGTGCTGAGCTGCCGTTTACAGTGAGATAGCATGCTACTTTATTTTGTAAAAGTTTTTTCAAGCTCTGTGTGTGTGTATGTGTGTGTGTGTGTGTGTGTGTGTGTGTGTGTGTGTGTGTGTATGTGTGTGTGTGCGCGCGCGCTCGCTCGCTACTGTTGCTTCCAGAGGCCACCAGGTCTGGATGCACAGGCAGTTGTGATGCTGTAGTATGAGTGCTGGGAACTGAGCTGGAGTCCTCCAGAAGAGCAGTCACTTCTCTCAGCTGCTGAAGGGGTGGTCTGCTCTGTGACTGTGTAGCTTTACTATTGTACAGATGACCCCTTTGCGGGTGACAGCTTTGGTATGGCTCAACTGGCACAACAGACATGGATGCTGGGAGAAACTCTTCCCATTTGCAGTTGTAAAATTGGGGGCTGGGTGTTGGCTGGTACCTCTATGTTTTTAAACCCTCTATTGGAATGCAAGCTGGAGATTTGAGCCACATTGCCACTGAAGTTTATTTTAAGGTTGAAGATCCTACAGACATAAGAAAAATAGAGTGTGATTAATCTTTGTAGAGGACTCAACATCTATTTTCTAGAAGCCTATTAACACCCAGATACTGGAATAAAATCACTGAATCTCAGGTGCTGAGTGATACTCTCATGCTGTACCCATGGTCCTTAAGCTAAGGGTTCAGCCTGAAGCTGCTGTCCTGAATGGTACTCTAGCCCAAAGAAAAGCACAGGCAGGGGGCAGGATGAGCATGGCTTCACAGAAGACAGCTTAAGGAAGGAGGGCCCTGGTGTTCCACCTGAGATCAAAGCCTATTGTTTGGTGTAGCTAAATGGACAACATAAATGGGAGGCCAATTCCATTCACAGCAGGAGTGGACTCTCCACAGAAGGCAGAAACATTCTGTCCTTGTCTTAAAAAAAAACAACTAAGAGAACCCTAGTCTTGTTCATTATCCATTAGTCCAAGATTCAAAACTTTAGACACCTTTAAGGGCACTTACGAGTTTGAAAGTTTGCCTGGATGGCTGTTTCCATTTGTACCTTAAATTGTATGAACAAAAACATCTACAAGTAAGAGATCGTTTGCACTCAATTTTGTTCTTTTATTATCTCTTCCATGGGAAAAGAGGAAGGCTACTGAGTGCAGCTGTTAGATACAATTCTGGTTTTGTGCAAGCCGCTTTTGCATAATGACAGGCAGAGAGAGGACTACAAAAGATTCAGAGGCACAAACAGAACAAATTAAAAGATGGGCAGAGCTTCAAATGAGTCTCTCGTGGCTGCTGGTGAAGACTCAGAGCAACTGAAAACAGACTGTGATGCTGAACGCTGAGGGTGCCCAAGTGAGGGAGACAAGTGGAAAAAGGGACCCGCGTTTGGGGCTTAACTCCCACAAACGGGATACTAACAAACAACCTGAAGATGACAAAACATGTAGAAATTAAAAAGATGTTTCACTTCCTTTAAACCCTGTTTTCTTTAGAGACGTGGACATCCGTGATGGATGTCCTATGACCTACGACAAACTTACCAGCATCCAGTATATTGTAAAACAGCTTAGCTTCTCTTGTTTGACAGCAGAGAAAAACAGACTATTATTTTAGTGTACTAGAGTATCTGGCCCTTTAAATTTTAGTAGATAAAGAAAATATTGATGGCATAGCAAACATTTTCTTCTTGGTCTTAAACCTGTAATAAAATGTTGCTGACAGAGTAATTATGAATGCTTTATATGTTCAGTGCCTATGTGCTCCTTTTCACTGAAGCAATTTAGGTCCCATTAATGCTAATCTCATTAGTACCCACTCAGAGACTGAGGACTCTCAATAAACTATTGATTCATTTGAGCCATTTAGGCAGGACAAGGGCAAGAAAGGGTGGGATTCCACCCACAACTGTGTTTCTTAGGATGTTTTCCGGTCATTAATGAGCTTTAAGTTATAACTCATATGAGAAAAAATGGGGAGGCAGGGAAATTGACTGAGTGACAGGTCTCAATCTGTGAAAGCTGGGGGAGCCCGAAAGGTGTTCTTAACTGAGGTCAGAGATGAGATACTACAAAGAAAGGGGGGATTTTCTTTCAAAAGCAACGAAAGTGGCATTCTGCTACACTCCTGGATGTTTAGGCCCATGTCCCCTCAATAGAAGAATTCAGTCATTCCCCCTGGAACTCAGATGACCATCCATGGGTCAGGTTTCCTTGACTTTGAATGCTTTGATCAGCCAAGAGACAAGAGGGGCTCCCCAGAGAGCTTGTGTCCCCATCTCAGTGATCTGCATGAATACAGCTATGTAATGAGGCTGCTTTCCATAGACCAGCCTGCAACTGGGATTGCAGTAATAAGCCCTCTCTGCCCTTTTGGGGTCACTCCAGAGCTTCTAAGGCTCCAGGTGTCTCAATCCCACCCCACTCCACAAGCCAACAGTCCCATCATAAAACAGAGGAAAAGTGGCAGACAGAATTGTGTCCAGGATCAACCATCCAGCTTTAAGATAAGTCGTTTAACCTCCCTGAGACTCAGGTTTCCTTACCTCTAAAACAGAAAATGATGGTCTCTAAAATGCACTTCTCGCCTGCAGCAGTAGTTTAATTGAAATCTTCCCTGTACATAGACAGAGTATCATTAACTGAGAAATGACTTAAGAGAAAAAGTGGCACAGGAGAAAGGCAGGAAAATGGAGGTCTCAATTCTATCAGGTTTCTATACCTAACGAAAGGGAGCTTTACCCTGGGAATTTTCGTACTCGGCTTAGTGGGGACTGGTGTTTATCATTTGCTAATACATGTTCAGAACATAAACAAACAAATCTCCTTTTCTGCTATAACCAAGTTTGATGCTGGTTACCCATGGGGACAGGAGAGAGGGACAGAGAGGAAAAAAAACTACTGCAACACATACTTAATAAACAAATATTAAAATGTCTTTTCTCTACCGACTGGTAAAAAAATATATTATATTTTGATATTTTTTCTTTTTAAATTATATTTGCTATTCATCCCAGCCAAAGTCGCGGCCAGTCATCTGGTAGAACTTGCGGTTGAAGGGCCGGTAAAAGTCACGCAGCTGCCTCAGCACCTCCCGTGCAATGACAGGATGCGCACGACCCTTGGTCTTGCCCAGGCAGTGCGGCTTGCCACTGCCCTCTGCCTTCTTGAGGCACGGGAAGCCCTTGGTCTGGTTGAAGTAGAAGTGCTTGTCAGTGATGATGTGCTTGAGGCCCAGGAAATCTTGCACACGGCGCAGTTCACCGGCTGGGTCGCTGACCAGCCGCTCCCCGCTCACGAAGAGCATCTGGCCTAGCGGGAAGTGGCGCAGCCAGGGCTCCAGGTGCTTGGCATACAGGCCGATCTGGATGGCGCTCCAGGACGTGTCGATAAGGCCCGCGCTGCGGTTGCGGAACGTCAGGCTCTCGAAGCTGGGGATGTCTGGCCGCTTGGACAGCGTCTGCGTGTAGTCTGAGATGGCCCTGGTCACCGGGTCGCGCACCACCACGATGAGCTTGGTGTCCTTGGACATGGCTGAGATGCGCGCGGGTGCCTCCCGGGTCACGAAGTAGCTGGGCGTCTTCTCCATAGTGATCTGACCCTCCAGAGTTCTGGGCATCAGGTCTCTACAGCAAGCAGAAATGTGTATTAGGACCTGGGGATAGTAAACCAAGTCCCCTTCTAAACCCCAAGAACTGGAGAAGTACTCTGTGGATTCAGACTTCCCTGGGGGAATTGTAGTTCCAGTTTCCTGATTCCCTGAATGCCTGTTGGCCATGGCTGCTCTGCGCTCCTTGAGTCATTGCCTCAGAACAGTTTTTATGGCAAAATAAAGGCTCTGTAAGTTACTGTTGTCCATGTACCATACTCAACATCAGTGATTTTTGTAGTGCTACCAAATGGCATTAACACACCCGATGCCACCCTGCCCATAACTGTCTTAGAGAGGATCTTTGTCCTTTATACAAAAGCCAATAATTTCTCTCAAAAGTGTCTCCTCACTAACAAAGGAATCCTTTTTAATGATTTGTTATTATTATTTTAATTATGTGTCTCTGCGTGGGTTTGTACAGACAAGTGTTGGAACTTCTGGAAGTGGTCCTAGGATCTCCTGGAGCTGGAGTTAAGAATGACTGTGAGCCTTCTGAGGAAAGAAGCCGTAGGAGCTGAACTCAGGCCCTCTGAAAGAGCAGCAAGCACTGGGAACCACTTAGCCTTCTCCCCAGTGCCTCCTTAGAAAAATGTAAATGTACAGTTATCCTGCCATTTCAACGACTTACTTCTCCCTAGTTTTGGTTACTTGTCTCCAACAACAGCCCAAAAATATTGCACAGAAATTTCAAGAATAAACAATCTGTAACTTTTAAATTGCATGCCATCCCGAACAGCACTATGGAATCTTCCACAGTCCCCTTCTGTCTATCCAGGACAGGAATCAATTCTTTGCCCAGTATATCCGTTTTGTATGCACTGCCTGTCCATTAGTCATTTAATCAAATTAGCTGTTACATTATCAAAGTCCATGTGCAATGGAGGCCCCAAAGGGAAAGAGCAGTGACAAGGACACCGAGCACAGCACACATTAAATGGCCAAGGTACCTGGCATGTGGGGAAAACAAAGGTAGCAGGGTGGTCTGGAATTAGCCTGGACTTCAGACCCCCACTGGGGCTCTTTGTGTGGCAGGGTAAGCCTCATGAGTACAGAGAAAATGGCTTTTATATAACCCAAAATGCTTGTCTTCACAACTCCTCGGGGTGCCATTTTGTATGTAATGGTTTGAAAAGTCCTGATTGTCATGTTCTAAATATCTCAGTTTCCTTTCTATTCCTGTGGCGTTTGATGGGAGTCCCTTCCATCCAGGGCTGATAATGCATGTGTTGGGGGCAGATAGGAGAGTGTGATCCCTGGCCGCATCCCTCTTTCCTGTAGGGCACTGGCCAGCTCTAATACTCTGTCATGTCTTGTGTGGATTTGGGACAATTCTAATTTTTCTAAAAACCATCTGGTGAGAATTTGCAGCTCTGTCTCCATTCTAGGTGACAGTTTGTGCAGTCTGTCTTTCTGCAGTCTGTCTTTCTGCAGTCTGTCTTTCTGTATTCCTTCTTGGCTAGGCACCCCTCCCCTCTTTCTAACTCACTGGTTTGCATCTCAGCGCTCGCCGGCATTCTTGCCAACGCCTATCAGTTACACAGAAGAGTTCTGATTTCCCCTTTGATGCAAGCGCCATCCGTGCCTGTATTTATTTGTTAAATCTAAAGGTTGCTTTGCTTTCCCGGCTCTGTAGTATCTACTTTGCATTTATACATAAAGGATCTGCCTTGGTTGGGTGCTTTTCTTTGTTGTACCCTTACCACCTACTCCACCTACACTGGTTGCTAAGCATACAAGAAGTAGAAAATGTGAAATGTAAAAGATGAAAACATGTCAAGTAAACCTCACTCACCTCATATCTTCTTCAAGAATGCAAAACGATGGCCAACTTCATTTATGAGCTCCTACCCCCACCCCTACCCTGCCCCATCTAATCCCTAACCATGCCAACTGGATAATCTAAAAGCCAGTTGGCAGACAGTCTCTCAATTACTTTGCAAGTATTTGCGCTCCCATGTGGGTTATTTCTGGTACATGTTCCTCTGCTTTTGCGGTGTCTAGTGCTAACAATGCCTCAGCTTATTTGATGGGACTTACATATTATATTTGTTACTTTGGCAATTTTAATCAAGTGATTTTCCTCTTCTTCTTCTTCTTCTTCTTCTCCTTCTTCTTCTTCTTCTCCTTCTTCTTCTTCTTCTTCTTCTTCTTCTTCTTCTTCTTCTTCTCCTTCTCCTTCTCCTTCTCCTTCTCCTTCTCCTTCTCCTTCTCCTTCTCCTTCTCCTTCTCCTTCTCCTTCTCCTTCTCCTTCTCCTTCTCCTTCTCCTTCTTCTTCTTCTTCTTCTTCTTCTTCTTCTTCTTCTCCTTCTTCTTCTTCAAGAATGCTAGTTGTATGTTTGCTCAACTCATTTTTAATTTTAAAAGAATTTTGCGATTTATTTTATAAAATGATACCTCACATTAACCATCTCTTAAATACACTCAAAGGCTAGGTGTAGGTGAGTACAGCCCAGAGCACATGCGACACAACTGAGATGTCCATTGCCTTTTCTCACCTGTGCAAGCCAGACTCCCTGAAGAGTCAGCTGGACCAAACTGCCTCTGGGACTTATGATGCCCTTGCACAAGACAAGCTGAGAAATCTGTTCTAAGATGGTGGAACTTCCCAATTTATGGAAAAGTGTTGGGCTCTAAGCAAACACCAGATCCTTTGGAGGAGTGAGGGGGTGTGTGTTGATGGAAAGACGCCGCCTGCCTCCCTGTCTATAATCATTGAGTTATAACTACTTTACTTCATATTTTTCACTGAATTTTAAAGAGAGGGCAGACTGCTCTCAGGAGTTCCTGGCTGCCTTGTCTCTGGGAGCAGATAGGCCCCTGGGAATCTTTCTCAGAGACCGAAATTGCAGACTGCTTGGCCAAAACAAACACTACTAAACCTCAAAAAAGGATCCATACTTCAAAAAGCTTATTCTAAATAGGTGCTTGAAAGGAGATGGCCCAAACAGGACTTCCCAAGAAAGTCACCCTCAACACCTCCTGTCACTCAGAGGATGGGGAGATCTGACTGGTTAGAGTGGGAGCAGAGAATTGCTATGTTGTGGGTGTGAGCTCTCAGCTCAAGATCAACAGTTCTGGAGACGGATTACGCTGTGCCTATGTAGTTAACACTCGTAAACCTAAGGACACAGAGTCAGGAAACTTTATACTAAGCACAGTTTACAAGTTTTTTTTAAGTACTCAAGAAGGAACAAAGGCTTTGAAAGAGGGATCTAGCTAAACTATGTCTTTCAGCTTAAAGATAACTAAACGCAGGGGCTAAGTACTCAAAGGGCCTGTGGTTTTGTTTTCATCTTGCTAGACCAAAGGGAAATAAAATAATTTTTGACAGTTAGTAGAGCTGATCTGAAATCAGAAAATGCAGTTTGTGGCTTATCCCTTCTAATGGCTGACAGGGCTCCGGGGAGACAAGCTGGGACTTAACTTGACTAAAGCCCAGCTTATTCATCTCAACAGAAAAGCCAAGCCTAATGCCTCAGGAATCCGGCCTATAAAAGTTGGCAGTGTGATTGTTGCAGAGGTCATAGGAAGCATTATTACTCTGAGGGGGGTGACGATGAATGTCCTGATTCCCAAGGGGAAGGAAGGTCCAGATAATGGGGCTCCAGATAAAACCAGAAATGCCTTCTTTACTATGACCCTGGGGTACCCAGCATCCGCACAGGCATTGAAGGTCATGAGCTGTTCACTCTCTTTGGAGAGACATATGTTGACTGGTTGTGTTGGCAGAGGTGCACACATTCTGTAAGTGGATTCAGTTACCTCCCACAAGGGGTCATCACTCCAGAAAGAACTATTCATTGGAGCTTGTATCTGCTTGACACGTCATACCGCCCTCACTTTGGAGCTGATCCATAACTGGGACTAGGATTGTGCCTGCAGGGAATGTTAGAGCCAAGCAGGCAGCATAGCAGACAGGTTAAGTAGATTGTTCTTCTGTACCAAAGCCTGTGGTCAAGACACTAGTTTATGGCAGGAGTGCTAGAATGACTGGGAGAGCTTTCCCACTCCAAAATGGACAGGAGACACACCCGCCCGTGTGGCTGGGCCTCTTAGTTAGTCTGAGAATCAGGAAGCCCCCTTGGGTTAGGCAGCCAATGCTTCACCATTGTCTGCATACAGACACCTCACTTTCCATGGGAACCATCTAGAAAGAGCCATCCAGGCCACTCAGGAACTTCATTCAGTATGCATCTAATATACACAAGAAGGTACAAAAAGGGCCCGTGAGTTCAGTCATTCTTACCAATTTGGGCCCTTTCTCCTGGATTTCCACTGCCTTCACACTGGTCTCGATCCCCAGCTTCCCTGTCTAATTGCTACTGGCCAACTCTGGAAGTAGTTTCAAATGAATAAATGAATGATGGATGTATGAATGAATAACTGGACATATGGATAGAGAAATATTCCTTTCCTATTTGTTTTTAGTAAGTTGCATGTAATATATCAACTACTTACTATACCTAAAAGTCAATTGCACATTGCTTATAGATAGAAGCAGGATGGAAATTTATAAGAGCAGCTTCATGATACAGACGGAGGTAAATTGTTTAGAAAGTATTGAAAAAATAACTGTAATAAAATGGCAAGTTAAAGTAAATGAAAAGTAAAGTTGTTTATTCATTGATGGTGCCATCAAGTGGGTAAAGGGGCAAACCTCAGAGTGAAAGAAAATATTTACAAAATGTGTATCCATCAGAAGCCATATCTGTAATATATAAAGGACTCCTACCCATCAATAAGTTAAAGAAAAATAAACAGATTGAAAGAAAAATGAGCAAAAACCTTGATTAACCATTTCATACAAAACACAAATGTTCTATTAATTTCTCAGAATACATTAGACTAGGGAAATGGAAACTGAAACCCTGTATCAATACTGTAACATGACTCATCCACTCAGACAACTGGAATAGAAGCTACTGAGGTTTCTCAGTGTGTGCGTGGATAGCAATAACTGGGATCTTGCTGGTG